CAGCAGTAAAGTGTATGAAATGCAGTACCATCCAGGGATTAGAAATGTTTACAAAAGCAAGTGCTCTTAAAATAAAGATATATTAGACTTGTCACAGATTCAGATTATGGAATTAATGTAATTTTAAATAGTGTCCATCCATAGTTCATCATTAGAAAGACAACTAAATGTAGAGTTCTCTTGTAATACAGCTCACTAAAGAGGAAAATTGGGAACACAGGAGTACCGTACACACCGGTAGTTTGAGCACTCGGCAGACAGAGGCAAGAGGAGCACCACAAATTTGACGCCAGCCCAATGTGCATAGCAAGTTACAAGCCATCCAGAAATAATAACACAACCCTATCTCAACAAAACAAAAAAAAAGGAAAGAATATTAATCATCTCTCTTTATTCTTCAAAGAGATCAAATAGTAAATTAGAGAGTTTTTTTACCTGTTGTTTAAGGGAAAGACTGACCTGTAAATCATGTAAATATATTGGTGTTGATAAAATATTTATATAGGGGCAAGTGCAAGAGTACATATCTTTAATCCTAACACTCTGGAGGCAGAGGCAAATGAATGTCCGTGAGTTCAATCATGCTAGTCTACATAGCAAGTTATATCCCAGCCAGGAATATATATTAAATTGCTGTTTTAAGAAAAAAAAAATCTCATGAATAAATTCGACTCTCTTGACCATAATTACTTTTAAACCTCTGAAGAATGTAAGCAGTTACTGGCAAGTAGATTCAACTTAAAATGATATTTTTTCTAACTTATTTTCCATCCCTGTGCATTCGTTGGTGAAGGATCTATTCAAATCTTATTTCCATGTTTTTTATCTTTTTCATCTGTATGTGTGTGCAATATCTATGTGTATGTCTGTGGGTACGGTTGTATGTGAAGATGCACGTATATGCATGTGGAGGCCTGAGGTTGGTATTGGTTGGGAATCTTACTTGATTGCTCTCTCTTTGTCTGAGACAGTCTGTCTCAGTTAAATGTAGAGCCTACCAGAGTCTAGTTAGCCATGTTGCTCTAAAGATTCTGTTTCTGCCTTCTGCCTTCCAAAGCTGAAATTACAGGAGAGGCACATTTATGTGGATTCTGTGGAGTTAAATTTAGGTCTTCTTGTTTGCATGGCAGTCACTTTAACCATTGAATCATCTCCCCAGCTCCTTTTTTCATTTTTAAATAAATTTTTCCATATTATTGAATTGAATTCTTTATATATCTCAATACAGTTTTTTTTTCCTTAGATGAGTGTTTGCTAAACATTTTCTCACAGACAGTACCTCATCCTTTTATTTTCTTAGTATCCTGTTTCAAAAAGGATAAAGATTATTTTATCATTTTGTGACTTATGATATCTTCTTAATTTCCCAGGCTACAAAGTGGTATATTGAGTTTTATATTGAGTATAAAAACACAGATTTAAGCAAGATAGAGGGCTATTTATTTTTCATCCTGTATTTTGTCTTTTTTGATTTTTGTTTGTTTGTTATTTAATTTGGCCTGTTTGTTATTTAATTTGTTATATAATTTGGCCTGTTACGTTTAAGTATGTGATCCATTTAAGTTAACTGTAGATAAGGATCAAGGTTCATTTTTAATATGGATTCTTCAGTACTATTTGTTAAAGAACTGTGCTTCTCTCTGAAAGTTTATTTATTGTGTAGATGTATGCATCTGTGTGTATGTGCCACGTGTGTACCATTAGCAGTGGGGAGAGGATGTTAAGTCCCCTGGAACTAATGTTCTAGGTAGTTGTGGGCCACTCGGCATGAGAGCTAGGGACCAGATGCAGGTCCTTTGGAAGAGCAGTGGGTGCCCATAACCACTGAGACACGTGTCCAGCCCCGTACATACCTCTTTGAATTACCTTGATAACTTTATAAAGTTAGCAAAATAAGTCATTTGACTGTATCCATGTGGCTCATCTGCTCATTTAACAAAGACCTTCCTCAGCTCCATGTGACTGTTAACTAAAAGGACATCACTTCTGCTTCACAGCCATGGTTTTCAGAGAGCTATAGTTTTGCTGTTTGAACTGCCTCACTCTTCTCACAGAGACGTTCTTTACTGTTCCACTGACACAGCTCACCCCAGAATCATCACACTGTTCTAATTTCTGGTACACAGCTTTTTCCTTAGCTCAGGTGATTCTCTTTGGTCTTGACTGAACCAGCATCCCATTGTCCTTATTTTTCTTCTGTGGTGATGTTTGTCCCTATAAATCTTTGTTGTTAGTTCTTCTTTTGCCTATTTTTTTTTTAAATCTCCGACCTTTACAATTCTGATCAAAGCCTGCTTTTTCTTTTGTGTGTTTGTTTTGTTTTTCTTCTTATTCTGAGGTGGTCCCTGCAGGTATCCAGGCAGGGAAGCGAATCCTGCAAAGAAATGAGTGAAAATCTGGTGTAGATTGATTTTTGTCAACTTGGATCAGACTTCACGGATTCTTAATAACAGGCAGTTTATTCACAATGTATTTAAGCCCAGTATAATTTGAAAAAAAAAATCCTGGTGTAATACAATCCCTGGTGCACAAGGAAGCTTAATTATATTGAAACTCAAATCATTGTGTTAGAGCCCATCTTGTAGTCCTTATTACTAGCTTAAGGGCCTAAGGGTATGGTCCAGACTCTATAGTACAGATAGTGTAGAGGTCTATGCTCTTGGGGCTGTTAGCCACTTCTGGTCCTGCTTGGGGGAGCTTGAGGGAGCCTCTGGCTATAATGGTCATTTAGATTACTAACTACTACCTCCAGTCCTGGTCATGGGAGCTTGATGGGGCCTGGACCAACAGATAATGCAGATCACCAGGCTGTTAATCACTTTTCTGTTCTCAGTTTTCTAAATAGAAGAACAGGTTTTTCATCTTTCCCATTAGAAAGACAATTCTGTGTGATTAACATTCCTGGTGTCTCTGGAGATTTGTAGATGCAAGGACCTCCATGCTATGCTTCCAACATCATTCTATATGTATTCCTTTTTTATTCTCATCTACTCCTTCAGATAAAGAATCTCAAATTTGTATCTGACCTAAATCTTTTGAAATTTGGTTATGTATACCTACCTACCAGGTCCAAAGATGAAAGAAAATTATCTTGTATATATCTTGTTCACATTTGTAGTCCCATATTTAAAACATAGAACCTTGTGGGTTATTAATATTTGTTATTGATTTATCTTTTACTTAATCAGCAATTATTCCTAAACCAGCTGTATACCCAAATCACCACACAGAGACTAGGCTATATTTAGTTAACCTAGAGCACAATGCTGGGTAATGATTACGCCATCCTAAACTTCCAAGCCCACATAGTTTCCTACCATTCGGATTTCACCCATTATACTTGTTTTTAATCATATCTTGGGTCTGGTTCATCTCTCCTCATGGTTCCAATTCCTGTCCTGCCATCTCTGCTCTCCTCCTTGCTCCCACTCGCTTCCATCTCTTCCCCTCCAGACCAGGTTGTCCCACCCTCTTCTCTCCATTGCACAGCACTGGCTGGTTGTTTAATTGACAGTTACAGAGAACAAATGGTGGCGTGTTTACACAAACTTGAGGCAGGTGATGCTTAGCATCACAGTGCAATGTCCGAATTAAAACCAGAGAGTGGGGCAGAGAAATCAGCATTTGAATGAACGAGGGTAAACTGTATGTATTCCACAAGCATTATACCAACATTTCCCCCTTTAAGTCCAAGAAAGGGCTCCTTTTCTTCCAATACAATAATAATTATAAAAGTTATGAAAGATGTTAGGTAAGATTTACATGTAAAATGTCTAGTTCATGTGCATTAGGCAACTTAGGAGAAAGTATCTGATTAGCTATCATATCTTGACAAGTTTAGAGTTCTATACCTAAGTTAACTTTTATCCTTGTTGGTATTAGGAAATGAAAGCATTTTCTTAAGTTCTAAGCAACGTAAGCTTAATTGTGGAACTGTAATGATTTGGTCTTCAACCCCACCAGAGACTTGAAAAGGAATAAAATTAGTTACTGGAGTAAATAGGAAGTGCATGTTAGCAGCTTCCAAAAGATAAAAAATTGATAAAGACAATTTGCTGCCCTCTATAATGTTGGAGCATCAGAACCTCATAGAAATTTATGACTTTTTACTTAGGGAACAAATAAATATATGAAAAACTAATCAAAGTTGACAGGATATATCTTATTATCCTAAGTATAATATTTTAATGCCTTTTGCTAATATCACATACATTTAATGAGTGTAACTAGTCACAAAAAAGAAAGTGCATTTACTTATAATCACATAGTTTGTTTTCAGTGTGGCGCAGTGTTGCTGTTAAAGTTGGTAAGGAGCCTCGGAAGAAAGAGGTAGGAAGGAGATTAGAGAGCAAGAGACTATTTCTTCAAATGTCACAAATACTGTTTCTGATGTGTTTTATTCCATAATTTCTTCCAGGAATACTCTATATGAATTGAGAATAAAATATTTACTGGATCTGTTAAATGCTGATTGCAGAAAGAGGAAAAATACTAATAAAGACTTAAAGTTTTTTAAAACATATATAATAGTTAAAGCCCTAAAATAATTCTCCAGAGTCATACATAGGAAAATGTAAACTGGATAATATAACTTCTTTTAGTTCTAGCATGATACATATTTTCATAATGATCTGAGTGTTCATGTTGAAAAGTATTATATCCGCTACAGTAATAGGTATAGAGTTGGACCCAAGCGTCTTTGAGGGGAACTTTATGGAGGAGTGTAAGTTCATTGCTACTGTCAAGAAGCTCACAACTTAAGAGAGGCCAGACACACAACCACAACCAATAAATAAGCATCTATGATGGGTTTAGAATAACCATTACAAGTTGCTTGGCACAACAAATAAGATATTCTGCCAGTAACATGGTTTTATCCTTGCTTATCATAATAAGCTGTTTCATAAGCATTTAGAGATTTTTATGTATATGCCTTTTTAAGCTGTTCTAGAATGTATAGTTTGTTATATTTTTCTGTCTCTTTTTTTCCTACATTTCAGTGAACGGTTCCTGGTGAGACTGAACAAGAATGGTGGACCAAGGAACCCAGAGAAGATAGACCGAATGTGTGCCCTTTTTACAGTATGTGCAAATTCTCTTTCCCCTTTATGTTAACTCTAACCAAGGGCTTGTTGTGTGGATATAGTTACTCTGGAAACAAACATCTGTTCTTATCCCCACAAGCCCCCCTGGTAAGAAGAGGAATTGATTTATGTTTCCATCAAGTTTTAATGAAATATTTGCAGAGACCTTCAAATAGCAATGGCTTTTAATTGAAATTATATTTTAAAAATCAAGAACCTTTTACTAATATAGATTTTATAAGCAGTTTCATATTAAATCTCTGATGTCCAAGGCATCCACCAGATCTACAGTTTAGGCAACTTTTAGCAAATACATGTAAACTAACCAGTCCTTTTTCAAATTTCAAATGTCAGGTCTTTCGCTACTCTCATCTGTACTTTAGATTTTCCCAAATAACATGTTATTATTCATGGTCTTTGCTCATGAAGCCATCACTTCAGAATGCTTGGCAAACATACTTATCGAAAACTAAGTCTCCTAACACTATGCTGTCTTTTGTGTTCTCCAAATCAACTTTTATTTATTTTTGCTAAGTAAAACTGTCCGCCTTTATTTATTTGAATTAATTTATTGAAGAAGAAAACAGTGTGTCACAATTTAAAGCACTTTTACTCTTGTAGATTCTTTTGTCTATTTCTGTAATAATTAGGATATATCATACTTATTGGCTAAGCATAGTTTGCGTATATCTGTTAATAACTAGGTAGTCAGGAGGCATAGGCTGGAGCATTAGCAAGATTCTAGCAAAAACAAAACAAAACACCTCATGAGCTTAGGAAGGTGTGATAGTCTCAGTGTTATTGGCCTTGCCTATGGCCTGTGACTGGTAGGTGGAAAGATACTTTAAAGCTGACTTGATGCCCTTTAAGGGAAAATAGTATTTATCTGGAGATCTAAAGTGTGACTGATTTCTTCTCTTGATTTCCAATCATTTACTACAAGTTAATCTTTCAAAATGTAAAATGATGGTACTACAGAGTTAGAAACTGCATTCACATGAGTAGCTTTAACTGAAAACGCTCTGTGCTTGTCGTACAGAAAAAATTGCTGCAAATGTACAGGAGGATTTGCAAACCTAGCTATGCTCAAATAATGTTTTGTCCATGTCTGATCTCAGCATTGAAGCCTTACATGAAGAAAAAACTGGAAAAGCAAACCCATGTCAATCATTGAGGGACTTAAAATGACTAACCTGGAAAGAACAATGCACTCTCTTTAGCATCATAAAGAAAGAAGGAAAGACTCTAGAGTGTAGTGAATGGGATTTATGTTAGCTGAGAACTTTTTAAAATGAGAGTGCCTGACTGAGGTCTCTTTGGGGACTTATTTCTAAAACAGAAAGTGAATGTCAGTCATTCTAGAGGCTTTTCTAGATCTTGAGTTCTCATATTCTGTCATAAAATAAGAGAAGTTGTTTATGCCTGCTGATGTAAGAGCTAACTGTATAAGTAAGCTGTTGTTCAATTCTTACATATGAATGTTCCTTGTCTCTTGAAGAATGAACTTAATTATGAAGTTGTTTGCATGTAATTACAGGAAGTCAAAATTTTTATTTAGCACTTTAATTATCTATATGAGCCCAGAGCTGTAGCATCACCTGTGTAAAAAATGTGCACAATACTCTTGATGTGCTCCTCTTCTGCCACGATGGGAAGGCACAAAGCTGTTAAGTATACTGCTCTAGAATTCCCTTTGTGGTACAGACCTAGATTTTTAAAGTTCCCAAGCAATATTGGAGGAGTATTTACAAAATTTTAAACAATGTTTTATTAATTCCTTGAAAATTCTATACATGTTGTTTTTTATCATATTCATCCCCTTCCTTAAATTCCTCCAGAGTCATACCCATTTCATCCTTTCCCAACTTTGATTCCTTATTTAAAAAAAAAAAAAAAGTCGAGTGCAATTTGTGCTAACTATATACTCTTGGGTGTGTGGCCACCCACTGAATATTGTGGATAATGATGTTAGGCATTTTGAAGTGTGGGTTAGCACTAACTTAGGTTATGTAGATGAAACTATTACCTTTGAAAATGTATCTGACCTTCTATATACTTCAGTTTCTAACTTCTATCATTTATTGTGTATCATAATAAGTGTCAAAATACAGTATTACCTTGAAAATACCATTTAAAATTCCATTTTTATTTAACGTTTTTAGATTTATTTTATGTTTATATGTGTTTTGCATGCACACGCACGCACGCACACACACACATGGTACATATGTGTGTACCATGTGCAAGCCTGGTACCTGTAGAGGTCAGAAGAGGGCATTTGATCCCCTGGAACTGGAGTTCTATATGGTTGTGAGCCACAATATAGGTTCAGGGAACTGAACTCCATTCTCTGCAAGAACAACAAATGCTATTAACTGTGAGACATCTCTCTGGCTCCTAAAATTCCAATTTTAAATTAGAAAAATGTTCAAAATGTAGTCCAACAAATCTATTCACTATTAGAAGATAACTTGCATGTAAAAACATATCTTTGTGATACAGAGAGATGATGTTCAATAAGTTTTTGTAACTTATTTTACTGTTACTATTAAAAAAAAAAACAAAACTTGGCAATATATGGTAACCATTTAGAATCCAAAACCTCAATTTCATTTTTCTGTATTACCTTTTCCTGTCCCCCTGGTTTTATTGTTTGTTCAGAGTCATTTAGCAGAACAGAGCTGGAACTAAAGCAAGACAAGCAACACACAGGATCCCGAGAGTGAGAGCCTCTACATTCTATACCTTAGTTTGCTTGCTTGTGTCACCTTAATTCTAGTCCAATGAAAGTATATAAATCAATATATATGGTAACTCTACATTTAGAAGCTAATCCAAAATCATGACCACTCATTTTTCCTTCCTTCTTAAAAGAGAGACAGGCATGTGAAACTAACCAAAGAATGAAAGATGGGCGGGAAATAGAGCTGAAGGCATTTTTCCTAGCAGTGAAAGGGAAAGCATGAAAACCTGTCTTGTGAAACACAGGGGTCGCCCCATCAGGCACTGACCACAGTGTGCTTCAAGTGGATTAGCCTCGTGAAAGGTCTGAGACAGTCGTAGGTAGGTAAGTAGACAGAGAGGTAGAGGGACAGTATATATGAAATATGTAGGGAAGTTTTAGTTCCTGATATAATTCTCTAAATGAGAAAATAGCAAATGTGTTACATTACAAGATGTTGTAAATATGAATACATCAGACTGATTTTTGTAATATGTCAGCTTGAAAATTTCTTGATTTGGGATCAGATTTGTTTACTTAAAAGAAACTCTTTTACATTTCCAATAAAATTGTTTTCAGGGCCAGTAAGATGGGTCAGGGATAAACATACTTGCTGCCAAACCTGATGACCTGAGTTTGATCCTACTTCCCACATGGTATAAGGAGAAAACTAATTCATGCAAGGTGCCCTCTGACTCCACATGTATGCCATGACACGTATTTTCTTCTCCATAAATGAAAAAAGGAAAAATATTTTCAGCTTTATAACTTGGTATATATATAATAACAATAAATATCTTAATTTAGACCCAAATCTTTTATCAAGGTTTCACTGAGGCCAAATTAATCTCATTTACAGGAAATATGGGCAGTGTGTAATAATGATTTGATGACAGTGAGATGAAAATAAAATTAGTACAGAATAAAGTTTTAGCATATTAGTCATTAATGAGCTTTTAATTTTTTGCTACATTTTATCGCACTGAACATTTATTTCTTGTATTACAAAATGTTTTTGTATGATGACAGAATAAACACAAGTGAAGAAAATAAAATTTCCATTGTGAAACTTTTGTTGATATTGATTTAGTAAGTGATCTAAATGAGAACTAGAAGAATACTATCAATAAAATTTCAAAGGAATATGGTATTCAAGTTTTTACTATATAAATTTTTCTTTGCTTGTCTTTCTTTTTTTTAATTTTTTATTAATTACACTTTATTCATTTTGTGTCCCCCCTGTGGTTCCCTCCCTCCTCCTTGTCCCAATCCCTCCCTTCCTTCACCCTCTGCATGCATGCCTCTCTCCAAGATAGGGGAGGTCTTCTTTTCCTTCCTTCTGATCCTAGTCAATTGGGTCTCATCACGAGTGGCTGCATTGTCTTCTTCTCTGGCCTGGTAATGCTGCTTCCCCCTCAGGGAGAGGTAATTAAAGAGCAGGCCAATCAGTTCATGTCAGAGACAGTCCCTGTTCCTATTACAATGGAACCCACTTGGATACTGAACTGCCATGGGCTACATCTGTGCAGGGGTCTTAGGTTATCTCCATGAATGGTCCTTGGTTGGAGTATGAGTCCCAGGAAAGACCCCTGTGCTCAGATTTTTTGGTTCTGTTGCTCTCCTTGTGGAGTTCCTGTCCTCTCCAGATCTTACTGTTTCCCATTTCTTTCATAAGATTCCCTGCACTCTGCCCAAAGGTTGCCCATAAGTCTCAGCATCTGCATTGATAGTCTGCAGGGCAGAGCCTTTCAGAGGTCCTCTGTGTCAGGCTCCTGACTTGTTCCCCCAGCGATCAATAAACGGGACCTCATGAAATTGAAAAGCTTCTGTAAAGCAAAGGACACTGTCGTCAGAACAAAATGACTGCCTACAGATTGGGAAAGGATCTTCACCAACCCTATATCTGACAGAGAACTAATATCCAGTATATATAAAGAACTCAAGAAGTTAAACAGCAACAAATCAAGTAATCCAATTAAAAAATGGTGTACAGAGCTAAACCGAGAATTCTCAATAGAGGAATATTGAATGGCAGAGAAACACTTAAGGAAATGCTCAACGTCCTATATAAATATTTTAAGTTTTTATTTTAATAAAAAATTTCATGCAAATTTCACCCTTTTCCAGATAGTCCCAAGATTCTTCCACCTTTCCTACCCACCAACTCATGTTCTTTCTCTCTCTCAAAAAAAAGAAAAAAAGAAAGAGAAATAAAATTAAACAAAAAAGACAAAACAAACTGAAACAAAAATTCCCCCTGCACTTGCACACAGAGTCCCTTTTGTGTTGGCCAGGGGCCTGCCCTGGAGTGTGGTTGATGAACCCAGTGACACTCACTAGGAGAAAACTGACTTTCTCTTCTTGACCGGGTTTCATTGCAAATAGTGTTTTAGTTAGATGTGGAACTTCATGTCCATGTCTTCTTTTGAGATTCTGTGTGGTTGCACCTGTGCAGGTCTTATAGGTGCTGTCAGTCTTTCTGAGTTCATATGTACGTCAGTTCTGTTGTGTCTGGAAGGTAACGTTTCCTTGGAGTCACCCATCATGTCTGCTTCTTACAATCTTTCCTCTTTTTTTTTTTTTTGCCATAAATTCCTGAGCCTTGAGGGAGAGGGACTTGATGGAGTCATTCCATTTAGGACTGAGTCCAATTCTTTGCACATTGTCCAATTGTGGGTCTCTGTGTTAGTTCCGATTTAAGAAGAAATTTCACTGATGAGGTAGAGCAAGGCACTTATCTCTGGGTATAAGAGTCTGTCATTAGGAATCATTTTATTTGTGTGTGTGTGTGTGTGTGTTTAAAAGAGAACAATAGTAGTCAGTTTTCTCCTAGAGCCCACGACTTATCTAGTCTCAGTTGTTGGCCATTGAGCAGTGTCAGGTATGAAAGCTGTCTCATGGAGTAGGCCTTAAGTCCAACCAGAAAGTAGTTGGTTATTCCTAACATTTGTGCCACTGTTATACCACTTTTATATCTTGTAGGCAAGGTGCTGTTGTGGGTCATGGGTTTTTTACCTAATTGATATTGGTGATTAATTTTTTTTTCCAATAGTATTATGTAAAATACCTTCTAGTTTCATGAACACTAGTTAATAGGGGTTAAACTTCTAGTTGAGCACCAGCTCAATTTTTCATTGTTCAATGACAAAAGTAAGTGGTGTTTTCTTTTTTTTAACTTTTTTATTATTATTTATTACAATTTATTTACTTTGTATCCTGGCTGTAGCCCCTTCCCTCATCTCCTCCCGGTCCAACCATCCTTTCCTCTTTCCCCTCTAGTCCCTCCATTAGTCCACCGATTGGGGAGGTCCTCCTCTCTTACTATCTGACTCTAGCCTATCAAGTCTCATCAGGACTGTCTGGATCCTCTTTCTATGTGGCCTAGTAAGACCACCTCACCAGGAGGAGTTGATTAAAGAGCAGACAACCGAGTTTATGCCAGAGACCATACCTGCATCCCTTACTAGGGAACCCACCATGGAGACTGAGCTGCCCATGGGTTACATCCGAGTTAGGGGATCTAGTGGACCCCAGGACCTAGGGAATCTAGGTCCTCTCCATGCATGGTTGTTGGTTGATTCGTCAGTCTTTGCAGGACCCCCTGGGCCCAGTTTTTGTGTTGTTTTTTTTTTTATTGTTGTTTGTGGCTTTTGGAGGTGGGGGGCTCTATTGGTCTCCTAGCGGAGCTCCTATCCCCTCTGGGTTTTTCTGTCTCCCCCTTGTTCCATAATATTCCCCACACTCTGCCCTAAGTTTAACTGTGAGTCTCAACATCTGCTTTGATACCCTGGGTAGAGTCTTTCAGAGGTCCTCTGTGGTAGGCCCCAGTCCTGTTCCCTATCTTCTCACACTTCTGGTATCTATCCTGTTTGCCCTTCTGAATGAGGTTTAAACATCTTCCCTAGGGTCCTCCTTGATATTTAGCTTCTTTAGGAGTATAGATTTTAGTATGGAAAAAAAAAAAACAGAATAGCTAAAATAACCCTGTACAATAAAAGATCTTTTGGAGGTAAGTGTTGTTTTCAATGATAGGACCTCTGTATAAATCTTGTATATATTAAATGTTGTGTTCTATAATCTTTCTTCTCCTACCTGTAATATATACTAAAAGCAAATTACTATGAAATTTGAATGAAGTGAAATTTATCTGTATATTATTTTCTGTGTATTATTTGCCTAGATTTATTTATTCTGTTTTATTCCTTAGGATCTAAGCAGCAAAGACATGAAGAGAGATTTATACATAGTTGCCCATGTGATCCGAATAGGTATTGTCCACCTTAACTGTTCTTATGATTAAGACTGACCAAACTTAGGTTAAGTATACATCTGAAGTTTGTCTTTTTTGCTATTTCAAGGTTTCAGAATTAGAGTGTTGGATTTTTTTTGTTTTTTTGTTTTTTTTTTAAGCTTTACCTTTAGGCTCAGCTGTTACAGCAGCTGGATTTAGTGCAAATGAATGTGTTTTTCCCATTTCAGATTTTCTGTTCCCTCATGCTTTTAGACCAAAACTTTGTATTTTAAGTGGTCTGGCTTTTTTTTTTTTTTTAAACATTCTTCCTGTCACATTGCCTGCTTTTGTATGTCTTTTCCTCCAGAGTTCTTACAGTGATCCTAGAGTGCCTATTAACTAGGTGGTACTTGCCCTTTGCTGTGGTTTGCTGTAGTGTCTGTCCAAAATTATGCACCTGGGCCATTTTCCACAAAATAAGAGTTATTTTCGCCACTGAAGAAGATGAGTAGCATTTCATTTCTACTCAAACTGAGATGAAAGACCGTGACTTCACTACTGTACCGTTGTATGACTAACCAAGTTTTCCTTCATAGTTTAAGTTCTAGAATATAGCATATAATTTTGTCAAAAATATGTTTAATCCTTTGACAATATAACAACTATTTTGCCTTAACTTTATAAACCATTTATTGAAATCTCAGCTTTTGCAAGTCCTTGTATCACTATTGGCACTGCCTTGTTTACTTAGAAGAATAAGCAACTATCCACAACTAAGATTTCTCTTGCTCCTGCAGTAGTTTGTCAGTACCTTTCAGCATTAAAATTTAGTTAGAGGAAGAAAACATAGTGTCCTTTTTACTTGTGAATATACAGTTTGAATGAGGAGTGTGGCTAAAAATACTGAACTTTTGTCATTAATATGGCCATCAAGTTTGAATCTATGAACATGCTGATTTTTCTAAGAAATCAGTTAAGTCATTCTTATTTTTATTTGAGTAATAAATGTATTGCTGGTGTTACTTGACTGAAAGTGTCACAGAAAAAGGGCTTTGGCTAGAGGCTAATTTAGTGATCTTGTACAGATACCCTTATCCTTCGATTAAACAACTAGACTCACTTCAGCTTCTTGTTTGTCTTAGAGGATCTCTTGGGTACCCGTAGCTCTGATATAATTGGGTGATAATTAGAAGATGCTAGAGAGGAGCATGGAGTTCTCTGTCTAATTGGTGTTTTTGCTATACCCAAGGCCGGATGCTCCTGAATGACTCCAAAAAGGGTCCCGCTCACCTACACTATAGGCGACCATATGGCTGTGCGGTTCTAAGCATTTTGGATGTTCTACAGTCACTTACAGAATTAAAAGAAGAAAAGGATTTTGTTCTTAAGGTTTACACGTGAGTAATACTACATATTAGGAATAATGATGATTTGCAGCATGCCCTGAGATCAGCAGTTCTCAAGCTTTATGAACGTAGACTCACCATAATGTAACATAGGGAGGCTAGTAGGAAAGCAAAGATTTTGATCTAAGGTTTTAAAGGCCGAGGTATTTTTATTTTTAACAGAACATCTAAATTTGGAACATTCTATCTTAAAGGGAAAATCTGATAGAACACATTTCTTGTATGTGCTGCAATATTCATTTTCTCTATAGAATAAGCCATTTTTATTATATATCCTCAGAAAAGCTAACAGTATAATTTCTCATGTATCTTAGATTAAAAAAAAAAACTGCTTTATTTGTACTTGCCCAACAGTTACTGCTGCTGAGCTAGCCAAGAATGCAGATTACTTAAAAGAATTATTATGAGTCAGGTTACAGTATATTTAAAGGAAAGCCAAAACTCTTGAGGATCCAAGATCTTACTTTTTTCTTCTGCTACTACAGAACTCTTGTGTCATATCCAGCATGGCATGGAGCTATTTATAGTATTATCCAACCAGGGGATCTGCCTTATAGATGCATTCTATCTCCTCATGCCCTTGTTCAACAGTAGGAAAGAAAAAAAGGAACTAATAAAAGAAACAGAACATGAGTGTATAGTCTGTCTTTGCTTATGGGGAATCTAGAAATAAATAGTAGTCTTAAAAATGATTAGTGGTGATTTTAGTGAATCTTTGTTTTGCTTTTGCTTTTTTAGTGATGAGGATGATTTTGAGACAGTTGGTATTCCCAGGTGGCTTGGAACTCACTATGTATCCCAAGCTGGCCTCTGGGAATTGATGATCCTCCTGTTTCAGCTTCCTGCATGCTGAGACTGCAGTCATGAGTGACTGTACCCAGCTTTAATGAGTTTTTAAAACAAGTCTATCTCTGATAACTCTTAATATTTATCTTATTTTATGTGTATGGATGTTTTCCTGCATGTATATACCATCACATGCCTGGTGCTTGCAGAGGTAAGAAGGGGGCTCTGGATCCATCCCCTGGAACTGGATTTATGGATAGTTTAAGTCCCACGTAGGTGCTGGGAATCAAACCCAGGTCCTCTGCAAGCATAGCCAATGCTCTTAACTGCAACCCCTATTTCTGTTAATTTTTTAAAAAAATCACTTCTCTGTTAGCTTTAACATAGTATCATTTTCCCAAATTAAGTCAAATGCTGTCAGTCGTTTTGTTAATGTAGTTTCACCATAATATTGTATGTACATTTTCCTGCTTATCTATTCTGTCTGACTCAGATATGGAATGAACTTAATTTATAATTACATTTAATCCAGGACTTTCTATAATCAAGTAAATTTGATGAACTTTAAAGTAAAAGTACAAATATATTTATGTTGTTATAAATAAAAGAAATGATGAGTGTTGGGATATGTATTATTTATTATTAGCCCTATAATTATCATGGCAGTATTATCTAAACTGCTATCACAAGTAATAAGACATCTGTTAGATTTTATAGTTGCCTTATTTGCCTTGGGCCAGGCAGATATTCCTACCTACTCTGTCTAAATCACCTCACCATCCATCTCCCAGCCCCCATTCAATGCCATCCTGCTTAACCATCCTATCTTACACTTATCCTAATCCTTTAAATACTTGCTTTTATACTTCATCTGGGCTTTTTCATGCCATTATTGGAGTCCTTCCTCCTGGCCCCATGAGGTTTCTTCTCCAGGTTAATCCATCGTGGTGTCCTACTTCTTACTCTCTTCCTGTCCCTCTATCTCATGATTCTCTTGTCCCCAACATCCGGGGAACCTTAGCCATGCCTTGCCCAGGTATAGAGCATTCAATGAACTAATCAGGCATAATGTTTTAGGCAGGTTTACACAAACAAGGATGGGTGTATCCGGTGGGCAGTACCCAGATCTTGAGTGCCAATAATTAGCATTAGACCAACCTCCAACATATTTATTACATTTTTTCAGCTCTGCTGAGCTGTATAATTTATAGGGTGAAGAGCTTTCGTGGAAGTAGTCATTTACAAAGAAAAAAATTGCCTAGCTTCCTTCTTAGTATATGAGTCAGAGTTTCTAAAAATACGGAGTTTCTTCTTTGATGGGTGGTAGGGCCTGCTTCTTCATACACTTTCCCTTAAAAAAGAGTAAACAGAAATCCAAGATTGTTATCATCATCTTACTCTATTATATTCTTTCCAATGGCAAAGGGCTGGAGGATAGTACAAAAGATGGTACGTTTGCATGTAGCAAAAATCCTTGCTTTAGTACAAAGTCTCCTTACAGATAAGGAACTTACACTTCATCCCTTCTGAAAGAGGCAATTCAGTAAATTGCCTCTAAAACAACAGCTTTCAGTACCAATGTGTCACTTTGCAAGTGGGATTCATGAATACTATTTTCCTATAGGCTGTGTTAGTTCTAAAAAGCCAAAGAAAGTTGTGTTTAAAGAAAGGAGTATTATTTTTCCTTTTAAAGGATTAATAAAGTTAAAATGTAGAATAAAGAGGTTATAAGACTTTTCCACTTGAAGAGATTACAAGACTTTCAAACAGATTTTCAAGTGATGGTTTGTGAAGTTGATTTTTCAAGTAGTTTGGAATCCTTCCAGGATTAGTAACATACCATTTCATTGAACCTAGCCCCCAGAAGAAGCAGTATTTTTTCAGTATATTTAAAGTGATGTATTTGTTGGTTCAGTTAAATTGTAAACCTAAAGGCTCAGTGCGTTAGCCTTTGCTGAAATAGAATTTTCTAAGTATTAAAACTTTTTCTACAGATTTATTCAGTAATTGGCAAAATTACCTCTTTAGTTGTTAACATTCTTACTATTTTTTATATTATGCAGAGTCAGTCTTCTACGAGAGATTTAAACTTTCTCCCTGTCTCTGCCAAGGCCACTTCTGTGCATTATAGTATTTTTAAATGCAATATGTGGCAAGATACCACACCCTTTTAAGGAAATGGTAACAAGTAACTATTTGTTGAGTCAAATGCCTTAAGACTATAAATAACCAAATAAATAACTGTCATATGCATTTCAGTCTGATACATATATCATGTTTCTTGTTGCCTAGAGAGATAAAGGGTTACAAGCAGGAACAATAATGTTGTCAGGCTTTAGGAAACTAAAGAAGAGGATTTCCAGGAACTAAAGCCAGTATTTGGAAGGGATGGGTACCTATAAGTTATGAATGTGACCAAATACAAGAAGATCCCGAGTACGTGATAATCACTGTCCAGTTTCATAATGACAGAAGTTTAAGTAAACATTTATAAAGGGAAAACTTTAATAAAACATGTTATAAATATATTAAAATTCTAATTTTGGTTTATTTTATTTTACTTGTTATATAAATATTTATTATAAATTATGTACTGTGTCTCATAATCTGTCAAATTAAGAAATGTGCTTATTCTCCATCCTCACATTTTATGAAAAAATTCCTGGGATTCATCATATGTAGCCATGCTATCATGGCTTTGTTATCAGAGGAGCCACTTTCTGCATCAACTGACAATATTTTCCAAGGAACATAATTTTTACTCCCATCTGGCTGCTTTTTTATGCATCCTTTGATTCCTTAATGATGTTCTCTCATCTGAGATTCTTTCTGAGACATAGATACTTATTTGTTAATTGAATTGTGATTAGTGGCGGGGTTTTTTTAAGTCCGTGCATGTGAACTCACAACATAGCTACTACTTTTTCTGCTTTTAAGGTGATTTGTGAAGGGAATGGAATTTGAATGAGACTAGATGAGAACACATGAGAGTTTTACATACACACAGTTAACACACACAGGTGAGATTGCTCAGTCATGTGGTAGCACCAGTTTTCATTTTTTTAATCAACTTCTGTACTGTTTTCTGTAACAGCTGTACCAGTAGACATTTCCACCAAGAATGTTCGAAGGTTCCCCTTTTTCTGCACCACCAACACGTGTAGTCATGTTTTGATTGCAGACTGTAGCCTGTATGAACTGATACCTCATAGTGGTTTGGGAAACTTTTCATATACTTTCCTATTTGTATATATTTTTCCATGTGTTTATTTGGGCCCTAGCCATTTTTTTTTTAATTTTATGTGTGTGCATATTTTGTCTTCGTGTATATATGTTTACCTCATGCGCGCCTAGTACTTCTAAAGGTCAGAAGGTCACAGTTGGTTGTGAGTCACTGTATTGGTGCTGGGAATCAAACTCGATTTCTTTGAAAAGCAACAAGTCCTGTTAACTTACGAATCATTTCTCCAGCCTCTATCAATTTTTAATTAGCATGCCAAATAATGGACCTTATATGGCATCTTCAAACATATGTATTATTTTATTTGCTCATCTTTATATCGTTCCCTTATTATACCCCTTTGTCTCCCTCCCCCTCCTCTGCTGGTCTCCTTCCCTCCTTCAAAGAGCGCTTTTATGCTTTTATGCGCACCTGTGCATTTATGTCTCGATTCAGCGTGAGAAAATGTGCGTATGGCTATCAAACTCATCTTTTGTTATTTATTTTTATGTACTGGTGTCTTGCCTGAAGATATGCTAGTGTGTCTGTCACATATGTGCCTGGTGCCCACAGAGGCCAGAGGAGAGCGTCAGAGGCCCTGGTACTAGAGTTACAGACAGTTGTAAGCTGCCATGTGGTTGCTGAGAACTGAACCTAGGTCTTCTGGCAGAGTGTTCATAGTTCTCAACTGTGAAGCCATCTTCTCAGCCCCTGTTCTTTACTTTTAGTGCCTACTCTACCTTCAGCACCTAACTGTGTTTGTATATCAGTTCTGCTGTGGTAGAGAACTTAATGATCCAGAATTCAAATGTCATCTTGGGATAGCCTTTGTTCATGTAAGAGTAAGCAGCTCACAACAGGAATCTAATACAGATCTCACTCATAATTCCAAGCTTTTGTTTTTGCCTCAAGATTGGAAAACACACTTGAATATTTTTCTTTTTTTTTTTTTTTCTGTTCAATTAATCTGCCATAGTGACAAAAA